TTTCCCTAGGTCCCTAATCTTGATCTTTGGGAAGATCTAGGCCAACAAGTCAGTTCTCTGAGAAAATAGATCTTTCACATTTGGTTTTCGGCAATTGTGATGATTGGCTAAAGCATGACAGTCTCAGTTCCCGTACTCAGTGTTTGCTAGTATAAAGCTCAAGAAAATGTGATCAATACTCCTTCTGATGTCCGTATTGATCAGATATGGCTACTGCTGGCCTGTGAAGAAAGGAAAGATAGGACCTCGCAAAACTGCTCCTCCCGACTGCTCGCTCGGAAGTGAGGAGCAATAGATTCAGAATATGGCCAAACACAAACACCTTCTCCTGCAACAATAAAACCAAAAAGAAATACATAAAAGGCACTCTGCAAACACTCTCACTACTATTATTTCAACCCTCGCTGGCTTGCCAACTTTCTGAGATTCTGAAATGTAAATAGATAGCGTTTGTCTGGGTCTCATTTTCATTAAATGCTTAATCACTTAGCTCATTTCCATAAACTGGCATGAATTCAGTCTCCACTTCCTTCTTTTCTTCCTTAACTACTTTTCAGGAGAATAAAGTTCCTAAGAGTGATCAAGTGGATGTTTTCTCATGAGACCTGGACAAATAAACAGTCCCATAAAATACATTTCAGTAGTTTAACATTTTGAATCCAGTTCTCTATTTTTTTTTTCTCATTTCAAAACAATTGTCACAAAGGAGCGACTTGAGTACTGTATTTTCTGATTACTAAAACACTGAATCGTTTTTTACCCTAATGCACTCACTTTCTACTTTATTGCTACATTAATGTTGTCTGTCTACATGTTTTATTATGGTAAAAATTGGAATGTACAATGAATTTTGAAGCCATCTGCCTTTAAGAATGCATAATAAAAACAAAAGATGGGCCCCAGAGTTACCCACCAACATGGACAACTACAAATTACAGCATATGCAAAGTGTGTCTGTTTTTCTTCAAGGTCTGCTTCTCTATTGTTTGCAACAAATGTGACTTTTACTTGAAAGCCACATTTTAAATAATTTACAATGTATTTTGTTAAGTGAACTAAATCAAATTTCATACTCCCCAATTATACTTATCTATAACCACTTACTTGCATCTCTAAGTAAAAAGTATTTTTAAACATTTTAAAATTGATGTACTGGGCCCAGCTGATGGTGTAATGGTCACATCACTGGACTCCCATATAGTTGACCAGGGTTTGCGTTCCAGACCCAGTGACTTAAACCTCATGCTGGGTGCATGTGCAGGTATGCTCATGATCCCAAGAGGATAACGGAGGATAGGGGACTACAGAGTAGCCATCTGCTCTGGGGGGTGATTTCTTGCTTTCTGTCTGTCTGTCTCTGTCTCTCCAGCAAGCAGGGACACGCCCCATTGTAAAAATCTCTCTTAAAAAAAAAAAAAAAAAAAACAGCATATCGGACAACATAGGACCAGCAGATGGCATAATGGATGGCTATGTTGCTGGATTCCCATGTAGTTGGACTGCAGTTTGAGTCCCGGACCCGGTGGCTGAAGCTCATGCCGGGCGCGTGTGCGTGCGTGCCCAAGATCTGGAAAGGAGAATGGAGGAGAAGGGATTACGGCGTGACCATCCCCCCTGGGGGGTGATTTCTCACTTTTTGCCTCTCTGTCTCTCTCTGTCTTTCTGGTGAGCACACGCGCCCTATAGCAAAAACCCCTACCCTCCAAAAAAAAGTACTAAAAAAAGTATGTACTACAAAATTTATGTCAGATATTTTACTAAACTCACTGAAATTTTCATTTCTGAATATTTGAATAACGTAGTTATTTGGAGAAGTACTAAATTTAGTAGAATGATTTCAAGTATATGAGAACAGAGAAGAGAGAAGTAGATCAATTTTATTTCTAAAAGCTTCCACAGTGGGACCAGCAGATAGTGTAGCAGTTACCTCGCTGGACTCCCACATGGCAGGCCACGGTTAGAGTCCTAGACTCTCCCTGGCTTGAAACTCATGCTGGGTGTGCAGGAGTGCATGCCCGAGATCCCAGGAAGATAATGGAGAAGGGACTGCAGTGTGGCCATCCCCCCTTGGGTAATTTCTCAGTTTCCCTCTCAATGTCTCTCTCTCTCCTTTCCTCCCTCCCTCCTGCATGCCCACATGCATTAAGGCAAAAACCTCTACCAAAAAAAAAAAAAAAAAAAATCCACACTAATTAGGCTATATGGGCTCTGATGTTTAATAACGGTCCAGTCAAAAGAAAGTAGGAACATTTAACATCATAGATTCTCTCTAGTCATAAGAGAAGAAATGCAAATTTTGAAATGAAGTTTCCATCTATGTGATTAATTTTCTCATTCATGTGTCGGTCTCTCCCAGCTCCTTACAAGCAAAATCTCTTCATTTCAGAGGCATCATCAAGAGTTATTTTCCTATCATGAGATAACTACCAAACTCGCACGGTGTAATCGAAAAAGACTTTAAAAGGAAAAGTGAAAGGCACATTCTTGAACACTTTTAATCACTGTAATTCTGCCCCAATGGGAGTTGCCATTCCACACAAGCTTCTAGCCTGCAACACTCTTCTCTAAGTCTCTGGGGGAAAAAAAAAAACAATCTCTTATCCTGACAAGCAAACATATCAGATGGTAAATTCACTTCAGTGAGAAGAAAAGAAAAAAAAAAAAAAAAAAAACCTTGCAACAACAAATTGGGAACAGGGAGATTGATATTACTTTGCCCACTCAAAGCAAAATATTTTTTGGGAACCAGCAGTTAGCGTAATGGCTATGTCGCTAGACTCCCATGTAGTCGACCGCGGTTCGTGTCCTGGACCCGGTGGCTTAAAACTCACGCCGGGCGCCTGTGCATGCATGCCCAAGATCCCAAGAGGAGAATGGAGGAGAAGGGATTGCAGCATGACCATCCCTCCTGGGGGGTGATTTCTCACTTTCTGTCTCTATGTCTCTCTCTGTCTGTCTGGCGAGCACACGCGGCCTGTAGCAAAAAACCTCTCCAAAAAAAAAAAAAAAAAGCAAAATTTTTTTTAAAACAATTAAATACATCCCTCAGGCAAACAAATGTCTAGAGCAGCAAAATCTGGGGAGCAGACTCCCGGGGCAACAAGAGGAAGCAGCAAAATCTGCAAGGCCTCCATCACACTCAGTGACTTCCACCACCTCGCGTCCCCAAGAAAATTTCAGCCTGGGGGATGAAGGTGAAAACTTTCCCAGTTCCTGAACTCTGAGATGTACAACGGTACAACCACCACTAGGTGGCCTGCTGCAAAGCTACAAGGAGTGGGGCTGTGTTTTCTTCTTCGGACCCACTGCCCAGCCCAGAGGACAGTCCCCACCATGATCCAATTCGCTAAAAATGTCAGCTTAGAGGAAAAGAAAAAATTCAGGCCTTAGAATCTTAAGTCACGAAGTAACAGCCCCTCCTAAAAATCTGTTCCCACCAAAGCTGAGCAATACGGGGAGGGGGTGGGGGACAGATATATTCACACATTTTAAACTCTGCTGGGATTTTCAAAAGCAAACCTTCCGGGTGGCTGCTTTAGGGCGACAAGTGACGACGAAAGTACGACACGAGCGCTGGGCTGAGTTGCTGAAAGCCAGCCCACGGTAGTTTGTGCATCAGCTTCACCGCACAGCATGTACTGGCCACAAGGTGATGGAACGGGCTGGACAAACACAAATCGTTTTATGGCTGGCCAGAAATTCATCCTTCATTCATCAAAGTGGGTGAATGGAAATATTAAGAAGTAGGTAGGCATTTTCGCGGACTACTTCTAAAGTCAAGACCTTACTTTGTCTTCTACCTTGCTATCAAATAAAGCATCCTCCCATGAAAGGGGAAAACCACTTCCCCTTTTATAAAAAGCCTATACACCAGAGCTCAAATCTTGCCCAAAGAGATGTGACATAAATTCCAGGTATTCCTAAATATGTATGTTTACATGCTCACAATGCAATCATTTGGGGAAGCATGTAAGTTTCCGGGCCATTTTTCCCCCTTTTTTTCCATCTCAAGGGAGAGTCAAAATATGTGTTTATAGGTTTGACTTAGGATCCTACCCATTCTGTTGGGACGATATTTCCTGCCAGCTAAATGCAGGAAATCTAATGAATTGCATCCAACAAGCATCTAAACACCGGCACACTTAGCTTCCTTTTGGTAGCAGAGCCCAAAATCAAACCGGTTCAGTTATCACACACAAATCAAAATTACACCTAAAATCCTGAATTAGCATCCAGATGATTTGTAAAACTATTCTGCCTTTATTCTACCAACAGGCTAATTCCTCAACATCTTGCTTTGCCTTTAAAAGGCTTCCTTCCACACGACGGGATTTCCTCAAGAAACATTCCCAGTGGATGGTTTCCAGCAATAGTCTCTATCAACTCAGTCTGCGCAGGCAAAGTCTTGGCTTCTGCTAATTCCACCACCCCACCCCCCAACACGCACACCAATTAGACTTACAGAACCATCCCGTTCTGACTCGAAAAACAATTTTATTTGCACGTTTGTCCGTCTTTCCCCGAATGAGTGCTTTTCCAACTGACCTTTCAACAGCTGCCGAGACGGCACGGTCTGTAGGGTTAGAGCGGAAACTAGGGGACATTTTAGCATCCCAATCCTTGCAACCTTCTCTGCCCAAGTCCACATTCTCTGAGCCCAAGGGCAGGAAGCCTAAGCGTTTGCAGAGCAGCTCTCGGAGGTGTCCTTCTCACGAGCAACTCACTGCGGGCATCCAGCACTCGCACAGCCCCAGCCCACACGCCGCCCGACACCCGCACCCCGGCCCGCGGCGAGTGCGCCAGGCACGCACCAGCCCTGCCTCTTACCTTCCCTGGCTTTCAGCAAGACCGTGTTGGCCACGATGTTTTCCAGCTCCATTGACAGTCGGCGGTCAGCGAGGGAGCCGGCCGGCGG